CTGCGAAAAAAAACGCTTAAAGGTTTCAGGACCGAATCATACGGCGCTGAATCTTCAATAAAATATCTCTATGTATATAAAACTATGTTATCACATAATTGGTTTTTCCAATTTCCAAATTTTTTCAGGGTGTTTAGCCCGGTATCCAAAATACTTGTGTGTAATTCTAAGCAGAAACATTATTCTTAATTTTGCTGAATTCTCAACGGTTTATCAAATATCGGGGGAAAGGTAGTCAAATGAAGAGGAATATACCAGGTATTATTTTTCGTGTTCTTATGTACAAAAGTACCACCGATATGCGAATGTGAAGGTTCTATTCTATTAACAGGTACGCTCTATAAACCGACTTGGAGAAGGTTGGCCACAGAAATAATGCTTCAGAATTCTGAACAAAAACTTTATAACTGTTATATGTACAGTTGCTTGGATCATGTGTGGTCGACCATGTGTGAAATCGAAAACCCTCTTAGATTGCCATACATTTTTGGAACAATTCTTATTGAAGTTAATGGACCACATTGTTTGAAGAACCCTAACAAGAGAATTTTTAAATGAAAAAATACATTGCCCAGCATTAGTATTGTTGAAGAAAGCGTGTTTTTGCCTATTAATTACATGCAATTCACACCAAAACCAGCTAAACATGTCTTGCGGCACATTCCGACATTATTTCCTACATTCATGTCAAGGGCTGTATGTAAAATAACATAATTAATTTACACAGATAACGCTGATAAGGCGACCCGAATTCCGCGTTATTAATCGGCATTTTTATGTCACGTTAGGAAGTTATCATTCAGTTTTATTATTGATTCCCTGATAGCAATATTTTTCGGCAGTAGTGTTTTCACCTTCTAATCAAACAGTACCGGAAAATTAACATGGCATTGTAGGTGTTTTTGAGCGAACTTTCGTGTTTACGGGATTGCTTAACAGTGTTTAGCTATTCAATAAACAATATTGAGGTAGGTTAATATTTACAGGATCATTAATGCGTCGTATCCTTCAAACCATACAATTTATTTCTATCGAAAAATTCATTTTATGGCTCATTTGAAATTCCGTGAGCGCGAGAGCACCAGATTTTTCTTATTTCAAGTAAGTACTCGTAAATAAATGACTGCATTTGTCTTTATTTTGTAATTGTTTATTGAAGTTATCTGGATATAGCTGACCTTTTTTAAAGCAAATTTATGTAAAATAGCATTTTTGGTTAGTTGTTAATTTGGCAATGGTTTCTTTTCGAAAAATCACCACCATTCACCGCACCTAAATGTCCGGTGACATTTAGCCGCCACATAAAAGCGCTTAATCGAATCGTCCTTAAGCCATTTATTAATATAAACCCATTTATTATCATCACAATAATATAACCTACTCCATTAAGATAAATTTAGATTTGAGAGCACATACTAAACTTGACCTAAATACTGAAAAACTTTTCAAACTGGCTCGTTTCAGCTATTTAATCCAGAAGTTCAACCTCTCCTGGTTGGTGTTTCTGCGTCAAAGTACTTCTAAAATCCTGACAAAATAAAAGCCGATTCTAAATTAAAATTGTTGAACGCAAAGTGCAACATTGTTATCATAGCTGACCTGAAAACCTACATTCGTTTGTAATCAATAACCAACTCTAGTTCGATCTTATCTCGGCAGGCTCCTGATTACAAAAATTGTTCATTTTATTTAAAAAATTTAATGTCAACGGCTGAACGGATGAAATAGCTGTTGCACCATGTTAGTTAAGATTTTGGCGGTTTGACCTACTAATATGCGAAAGTGTGTCAATTATATTAATTAGACTGAATTTATGTGGTTCACAGCTTCCAAGATCTGTTATTATTACTTAATATTTTAGGCCAAATTGACAGATAATTGTTGGTCTCACCAGCATGGATCTATCTAATTGGGTGGTTAATAGTTGCTGAAAGGTAATGAATAATTACTCGAAAATAGGGACGATATTGTTATGGCTAATTTTTGTTTTTTGTTTTGGCTCCAATTAATCCATTAAATTTCCTTATTAACATAAATGTATTTATTATCTAAACTGCTCAACAAAATAGATGTTACGCGGACAAATGTCGACTAATTTTGGAATTGGATACATTCCGATTTGCTTCAAGCAATTTGGTTTCTGTTTGAAGCGTTATTTAGCCCGATTTATCTTCTGTTAGTGGATGTTTTCATAAAAATTAGGCATCTCATAAATTTTCTACAGGATGACAAATAAAAAAATGCAAAATTTCGGAAAGTTTGACATGCTCCTAGTGGGAAAAAATTCTTGGATTTCAACACCAAAAGTTCGAAATAGCTCGAAACGGTTTTCTAATTTTTAAGCCTTCTCTTCTAGTCACTGGGTGGTTTCGAAAAATCGACTGAAGCTGATGTCGAAGCTACTAAAACTTCATAGACAATTTGAGACTAAAATTCGATTTACAGTGGCTGTGATTCTGGAATATTTTCAACTAAACCGAAGTTCAAATATTTCAGTCAGTAATTCATCCAACTCGGTATATTGGATTTTTTCGCAAGTCCACTGTGAAGTGTTCGCTTCACATGAGCCCTACATTTTAAAAATCGGTTGAACAGCAAGAAATGTATGTACATAAATGCACACACAAGACCAAAAAGTTGAATTTTTTTCGACCACTTGGTCAATAAACGAGATTGTCGAAAAGCGTCAAAACTTTTTTCGAGGTGAGGCTTATCTTAATGCCTGTGGTGTTGAAATTTAAAAAAAAATCGATTTGTTGTCCAACTGAGAGCATATGAAACTTTCACCAATTTAGCATTGTTTCATTTGCCACCCCCGGAAGTTTATCTGAATTAGTAATTTTTCGCAAAAACACGTGTTAACAGGAAAATAATTGCACTAAATAACGCTTCGACCAGAAATCAGTTATCCAGTTCCGAATTTAGTCGAAATTTGTCCATGCAACGTCTGTTTTTCGCAATTTATATTGAAACTGAAGGTATTATAAATTATTCCAAATGCGCCTACACATTAATCAACACATTTTATTAGCCCTAATTTTTTCCAATTTGTACTTGTAACTTCTTGTACTTGAAAGACAATCTCGGGTAGAAATTGGGAGTAAAATTTGAAAAACCGGGTGTTTTATTTAAAAACAATCTATGGCCGGTAGATGATATTTTTCTTTCCAAAAATGCACGCGATGAGCTAAAAAGCAAATGCAGATCTGTTTTTAATAAGAAATAATCAATAACTAAAAAAGTGAATTGATAGGTATCGAGAAAAAATGCTCGTAAACACGTGTCAGCTAGTTAAATACATAAAAAGTTGCTTATAATTCGGAATAAGGCATAAGTTAAGAACCACAGAATATTGAAAGCTTAACTGTTGTTTTTCGTTAACGTTTCGTATATTTTTCATTTACTATTTACTATCGAACGAATTAACGCGATAACTTATCGCTGTTTGTTGGGCTTAGTTTGTCATTTATAAAGACATAAGAGTTTATTGCTTATGAATTTCATTTTAGATTGGAGCCTGCCGACATTTTGGTTATTTTAACCAGTTTTTGAGCAAATTAGCTATTCTCACTTGCAAATTCTCACTAATTTAGCTTTCGAAAGGCTCTAGTAAAAGCTTATCTTAACTTTTGATGATCAGGTGTGTTCCAACTTAAAACATTAATTTATGCCAATTTTGTTTTATATGAAATGTATTCATTTTAAACATCAAAACGGCGTAAAACAAAAAAGTCGATTTTTTCCAAAATCAATTTTAATAACCTCTAAAATTGTAAAAAAGTATTTATTGGAATTTGAATGAAGGGCTTTTTTAACACAGGTGGAAATTAGAAACGAATTTGTAAAAAAGTGTCTGAATGTCTGGAAAAATCGATCTTCTAAATCATTTGATACAAAAAGTTAAAAGGCGTGCAGGCGTTCAAGCAATTTCTTGGAAAAAAATTGTAAATTTATTGAACGTCCCTGAGTTAGTAGTAGTAGAATTAAAAGCCCTTTTCACCAATACTATCGGCAGTAGTTCGCAAGCAATATTTTTAATAAGATTGCGTTACATTTCTAGAAAAAATTGCTTTGCTCGTTTTGTCAACAAGGAAAAAAGTTGTTGAGATTATCAAAATTAATTCCATGTTGAAACTCGGTGACTTTTGCTTTACAAAAACTTTCCAACACATACGAAAAGATATTTATGAAGTTTTCTAGTCGGTTGTTCTAGGTTTTCCTGCTTTTATCTATCTAGTTGTAAGTAAGACGCCTGGGTTGCCTTAATTAGTTTGGCTTCTTGTTCAAAGTCTCCTTCAGCAAAATATGAAGTTAAATTTTATTGTACTTTTATGTATTAGGCTCTGCGCGCTGATCAAAAAAATCGGGGATATCTAAGAATTGGTGTTAATACACCAAATATTGGTGGTCAATGCAAATGCCTGTTCGGACGACATTTGATAGTTGTGGGCGGGTTTTGGTGTTTCAGTCCCTACTCCCTAATGCAAAGAGGTGTAGGGCAGGTCTTAGGGCTCTCTAAATCGTAAGTTTGGCGTTGGCACATGATGCGCGCTTCAAAAGTGGGTCAGTGGAACATCCCTTCTCTTTTCCTCACGGCCGCAGAAAACCCCACTACACACTGCTATCCGCCACCGTGTTGCCGATGTTGGTGCGATCATCCCTGGACACTGAGATGAAAACTGGCTGTTCCAGTTTTTCACTTTAAAAAGTATATTTCGGTAGATACGTTTTTGCTGGGCATGATGTTGATTTTTTGGTAGATGTTCCTTTTTTTCTAAAAAGGTAGTGAATTTTTCCTTTGAAGGTGGTAGTGTTCTTGCTGCATATGCCAGCGTGATTCCTGATGCATATACGAGACACGAAAACGCCATAAAATCTTTCAAAACAAGCCGACGATCTCGATTATATGTAACTAGGCTAATAGGTGATGATGCACTTAACGATTCGGTGTTACCACAGAGAGGCAATGGCAACGTTGTTTCTGAGCACTATGCTTTGCGAGATGTGTTGTAAGCATGTGTGTGTGTATGTGTGTATATATGACTTCACAGCACTAACATAGACCTGGTTCAATGGAAAGTAGGTCAGTCACTTTCACTTATTATTACATTGCAGTGGCAGTAATCATTTCGTGCTGTACCGACTCAGAGGCCGGACGCTCAAGGGTTCCGTAGTCGCCCGAATCTGGTCAGTTTCGTTGCGTTGTCGAGTGAGTTCGGATGGACGTTGAACAGTCCCGACCCAGACCTACTTTTCGTTTCGCCTACTCGACATCGCGTGTGCTGTGCTCAACTTATACATTCTGGATTACCGGATTTTGATTGCAAATAACTACGCGTAGTGCCTCCAGTGGCATGCAATGATAAAACCGTGCATCTTTGCATTCGGCTTGTGTAGATGACAAATATTGCGCTGCTTTTCATGAGAAATGTTACTTGACATGGAGAACCATCCAACATTGCTGCCTATGAACATGACTCCCTATGTTACGAACCAAGGGGAAAGTCCAATGGTTTCTCAGGCCTCCAGCCCTCTGAACCATTACGGCTCTACCCCAGTATCATTGCAGTACAATAGTTGTCAGCAATCTATGGGGATGAACCAACATCATCCCAACATTATGATGCATCAACCTTTGTCGTCCATCGATTCATCGTATTTATTTTCTTCAGGAACCCATACGCTTGGCGGAATCGAGATGGGTCCGTCTTTCCAAATCTCGGGTCCCGCCTCATCCATATCAGGGGGCGAGATTTCTGATACGAAGGAGGGAATCGAAGAACTGTGCCCGGTTTGCGGAGACAAAGTGTCCGGTTACCATTACGGATTATTAACGTGCGAATCGTGTAAAGGATTTTTCAAAAGAACTGTGCAAAACAAAAAGGTGTATACTTGTGTGGCTGATCGAAATTGTCATATTGACAAGACGCAAAGAAAGCGATGTCCATTTTGCCGGTTTCAAAAGTGCTTGGAAGTTGGAATGAAACTAGAAGGTAAGTCCTTAATGTAAGCCAACAAGTAGCTAGATTTTTTTCTGTCAGCTCACAGTCGAGCTCCTTTCATTATCCGCCGTCGGTATCTGAGAAATGCAAAGAAAGCTGCTGATACCAAGGGAAATTGCAATGAGCGGCATTTTTTCAGGGCAAAATAATTCAAACTAGAGACGAGAGTGAAATGAAAGCAAGGGCAATACGAGCGTTTTTTTCTTGGCAGGGATTAATTTGATTTTCGAATCTCGATTAACCTTAAATTCGCCAGAAAGAAAGCTGTGCAAAATCCTGTTCATTTTTAATTGCCAAAGGCAATTCTACATTCAGCGATTGTAAAATACTTATAAACTCAACAATAAATTAACCAAAAGGCCAGATACAGGTTAATGTGCTAATAAGGTAAAGTTTTAATAGGATGGTTACTAATTTTCGTATAGCATTTATCTAATATTCAGAAAACATTCATAGCAATGTATTTTGTTGTTTTACGGTTTTTAAATGCTGCTAAATTCATTTTTGATATGCCCTTCCTATTTGCCAAATATTTTGCCGGTTGTAACTAAAATACCTCCAATGGAATAGCAAAAAAAGTCTGATGTTGATCTGATGAAAAAACCGCGTTTCAAAATGTGCTTCCCTTGATAAAAGGGCTTGTCTGCTTTTTCTAGCTCAAAAGGGCCAAGGAGAATTCGCAAAACCACAGACACAAAACGTAGCGKGAACAAATTTMATTACGTKAGTMTGGGGAGAWCTTCGAGAAACTTTTTTGGGTATTTTGTCTTGATCRTCATCTAAACCCCAGTAAATTTGTGGGTTTCTGGAAATTTCGAAGTYACRAAKCTAAAAATTCGTTTTGYGACTACTCCTTTAGTTTGAGAGTAAATAATTGACAAGATTTAGGTCATTAAGGATACTTGTTTGTGCATAATAAGTTGATTTCCACTTTAACTTACGCCGGTATGCATAGTCGAACTTCGGTACTTTGACGGATAGCCGATCGTGCCGCCGGCGACGCTCAAGTGAGGGCTTTTTGATGTAAAGTTGTTCTTCCTAAGATGGAATCGTGGACGATTCTCCCATGGAATGAGCATGCGCAATATGACTATTCTGGTTGTCTGCACCGTCGGCTTTTGCCATGATATTATTAATTTACCGATAAAAGTTCGACACTGTTTTTGCAATTAGTTAGCTCGTGAAGTCGTTTTGAAAGTTGGCGCTGGGACGCCGTCAAAGGCACAAGAGATGAGCCCCATCCACTGCGGCTAGTTGCCTAGATGGATAAGATATTGTATAAATAAATCGCAAAATAACAATTTTTTCTAAGAAAAGACATGTGAACGGTGAAAGCCGTTATTAACGTTGAGAAAATCCAACCATTGATTCCGAAAACTTTCTTCTAAACATTAAAAAAACGTAATGCAATAATAACTTTATTTCCTCAACATATCATCCATACAGGCTTGATTTTTTTTTCACCAAGTAGGGACTGACAATAAAATGCATTAAATATATCTATTATCAAAAGAACGGGAAGGCCTCGATTTGTGCTTTGTTCCTGGTGATTSATTAATGACAACAAAATATTTTGCACAATTTTCTTCGAGAAACGAGAGCGTTGTCTAAAATCGGCTTCAGTAAATTTCTCTAAGGTATTTTCCATATATCGAATATACCTACCTGAAAATTATACAATTATTATTCGAATTGCATATCACGCTAAATCTACAGTACAGTACAGTAGTGTACAGTACACACCAAGATCGTTATCTATATATTTGAAGCAAAAATAGTATAAAAACACGAGAAGTTGAGAAATTTCGCTCAMAAAATAGCTTTGGCGATCGTTCGGAGATGCGTACACCCATCTTCGACAATTTCCCACCGCATGGCYCAGCAACATTAAAATGCGTGTGCCTCAAATGCGTAACCGATCGAYCGTGCAACCAAAATTGCCTCCAGCGAACGTCGRGAGGCCGGCGTCTAGTAAGAGATCGACCATGCATACCGGGCTTAGTTTTCTCATAAACCTAAAGTACGAGCCTTTAATTAAGACCATTAAGGTTTTACAATTTCTGTCAATGTAATTCAATTGATTGATCTGTGAAAAAACGCACAAGTGCATGGTTCCTGATTATACAAGGCCATTTTTTTGCTGAATTTTAGCTGTTTTTTACAATATTAATGATGGTTTCAGACATAACAATCGTCACAATCACATATACGTGAAAATTATTAATGTGCTTTTATTGCCATTTTCGGTTCTTGGAACCTTTCATATATTGATTAGTTTCTTGGAAAGCTTTTATAAGACTTTTATAAGCTTTTATAAGAGAATATTCCGGTTTTCTCTCTAATGTTCACTTATTTTCTTGAATATATTTCGTATTTTTCATTTGGTCTCTGAGTGTTCTGGTTCTTAAAGTAATTTTAAAGTGTATTTATCACTCACTTTGTTAATTTCTAACTTGTGACTTTGATGTATGAAAAAAAGTGRATTTTTTTTTATCATGCCCTTTTCATTAGCGAAGTTTTCCGAACGTTTCSTTGCAACGTTAAATCCTTGTTCTAAACTGGCAATAATYTAATGCAATAATCTATGWTATTTCTCAGCCAMAATTAWTTTTTTTCTTCCTAAGCTCTCTCTTCCCTCTGTTCATCTCTGCCWCATGTTGGGTAAAAGTRAGTCTCCGTCATTCCGAACCTTGWACCKKRTMKGCTATTTTTATTGAATTCAAAAATACAAAAAATTGTGGGTCAGATACTACTAATTACASCATTTATAAGYTTGATCAAATTGCGTTTTCTGGATAAATTTCTTRAAACCCCAAATTTGTCAAGCAAGCAGTCTTTACAAACCTGCTGAATTTAAAAATAAATCGTTAAAACCCGAACCGAATTTCTCTTAATTTAATTTGAATAGCCTTAATTTGACAAGCATTTACAATTGGGAAAGCATTGACGAAACATACATACGTTGTCCCCGATTCAATTCGAATATAAATTCTGCGTGCTATACGGTTCTCGATGTTTGTTAGTCGATACTGTTGACATTTTTTCTAAATTTGTTCCCCCATCGTTATGATAAGATTATGTTCGGTAAACATCATGTTTATTTAGGAGTACTTACTTAGTTCTACGATAAATTGTAAATGTAAATACATCAATTTGAGTGTAAAACTTTGGCATCATTAAGCTGGAGGTACAGCAAGTTTTCGTTCATTATTAGATGTAAATGTGCTGATCAGTCAAAACCAGTTTGCGAGCAAGTCTTTTGACATTTTCATGCCGTTCATTCCACAAAACTGTTATGGAAAGGTTCGCTACACGTGAAATAGTTAATTATTTTCGATTATACTTATGCCGAGTTGCATGACTACTACCATAACGTGCCATGGCGGTATTATATATATTGTTATGTCCCTTCATTAGTATACAATACGGTGGTAAATTGGATGAATATTCAATTATAGCTCCAGCTCATAAAATTGTGAATTATTCAATTAAATTATTGTTCTTCAGTTACCAAAATTTGTCTTTGATTTTGCCTGTATGCGTGGTAAAAAAAGAACTAAAATCTCAGTTACTTTTAGTGCGAAATATATGTTTTCAATAAAGCACAAAATAAGAATTCCGATGAATATATTTCAGGTTCCTTTAAATGTATATTCAAAATACCGAAATAAAATACTTGCAAATAAATATTTACGCTTTGGAAAGTGGTGATTAAGTTTGGATTAAAATGAATGCGAATAGAACCGAATACATTCGTACGATTATCTTGTAAATAAAGGAGCATTAATTGCGCAAAATATACAATTTGAAACGAAATTTGAACGCTTAGTAAGCATTTGAATGAAGCAAACATCAAGTACTCGCTATTATCAGTCACAAACAACAACTCCTTCTTTATTCGTATTAGCGTTTGCACAAGGGGAGTCATTACAAAATCAGTTTGTCATTTAAACTTGAGAATTTTGGGAATAAAGCCCGTGTCCCATGCATCCGTTTGTACGATGGTACGATGGTACGAAAGTGTTTCTATTGGTTGGAGATCTGTCAGTTCGTACGACGGCTGACGAATTGACAGATCTCCAACCAATAGAAACACTTTCGTACCATCGTATCGTATCATCGTGCCAACGGATGGATGGGAGACGGGCTTAAATACGAAATCTGATTTTTCCACAGGAGATCGATGTCTTTGCCTGTTTGAATATACTTTTCCATTATGACTTTTTCTTGAATCAATTTTCAATATTGTCGAACTCTAATATGCACCTCCAACTGAAAAAAATCAAATTCAATTGCGGATAAATTATCCAGACGTACGTGTCCAGAAATTATCAAATTTCATTGGTTAGCTCTTTCAGTGCATCAATGTATGAATTTATATTTTGAGCACATACCTGATTGGAGTAGTTTATGATCATTCCAATTCAGATTTTTCTTTAAAAAGGCGCAGTGTTAAAAGCCATTAAAATCTGTTTTATGCAGAAAATAATTGACTTCAGGATATTTAAAAAATATATTCAAGATTTGCGATTCCGACATAATGTTTCATTGGATTGATTAAAAGAGGAGCAGTATTTTACGGACATATTGAGTTTTATGATAACAGTGGCCGAAAATGCGAAAGTATGGCCCAATTATTTTCGAAACAATAAAACGACTCGAGGTTCGATCGATCGCAATGCGTTGGGCAACATAAAAGCAAGCGGATATCTAAAATTTAAATTTGTCTAGTGCGACAGTTTCACAAGAAGGTTGGTAGCGTTTTAAAAAGAAAGCCGCCACTCTATTATTACCGGTACACAACACATACTACATTACCTTTTGGTTGAAAGGAAAAATAAAGTAACGACTTTATATTTTCTCAAACGAAACAACACCGATGGTATTTCGAGTCGTGATGCCGACTAAATGTTACTGGAGTAAGCAAATTGCTTTTAACTTTTAACAGAAAGATCCACCTTTGACCAGAATGGCAAATCCCTATAGGTCGA